GGGGGGGGGGGGAAGTTATCTTCAGTTCCTGTCTCTGAATACATTTCTTAAAGGATCATAATTCTTTAAATCTAACTGTAATCTCTTCCATGTTGGTCAGCTTTGTAGCAATTTATTTCTTGCCAAAGTAATGCATCTGGAGTTCGCCAGTATTAGAAGCATTAACTCTTCTGCAAGGCTGCTATTTATTTGATAACTTTTCTTTGGTTTTGAGTGCCTGGAGAACATCTGAGAGTATTTAAATACTAGCCAAGCACTATGATACAATAAATAATAACTAACACTATTTGTATAAATCTCTTTTTCTTGTAACCTGCTATAAGCCCTCTGCTCCAGGTTTGAGATGCTACAGAATACTGTTTGTACAGATGGCACTGTTTAGGTTTCTCCATCTGCTTGAAGAGCCACTTGATTATCCCCGTTCCAAACCAATACGCATTTCATTTCACCATCCAAAAAAACCAAACCTCAAGCAACAAAATCCAAAAAACACACTCGCCTAAAAAGGCCAGAAATGCCACACACTCTGCATCGTCTGACAGTCAATAACCATCCCAGCACTGGATTCAGTCCTTCACACTCTCTGCATATCAAGTCAGATGACTGCAGCAGGCCCTGTTCTCCAACTTCGGTTTGTTTGACATCAAATTTCACCAAAGAGATCTAGAACACTTAACACCCCCAACTGTTCACCCAAGATAAAAATTTATGCAATCTGACTCCATACCCGCTCCTGTTGTCCTGCTTTTTTGTCTCTATTTTTATTTGATTGCTCCAATGAATTTTTCTGATTTAGAAGAAACTAACTAACAAGGTAAACACAGACTTGAACATAATGGCAGTAAGACTTAAGGCTCGGAAAGCATTTCCCATATCTGCTTATTTTTACTGCAAAACATTCCCCAAAGGGAATAGACACAAATACAGAAACAACTTCAGCAGAAAACACTCCTAGAAACTTAACAGCAAATATCTAGGTCTACAATAAAACTTGCTTCTATGTTTTCAGCCTCTTTAAAAACTTCCTTCTAGCCTGTTCTATCACCATTACTTACATTCGTTATCTTGTTATGAATATTTAAGAAGTCTCACAGGAAATTATGGGCATGGGATTCAAGTAAGATTTCCTGCCTGTTAATCATCACAGAGTGACACCTTCCTGACATAGTCTGCTAGAGCAGAAGTAACTTGTCTTTTGGAAGTTACACTGAAAGGGAATAGTACAGGGGAACAGTGATAGTTGATGCTTAGTATTGGGGTAGATTTTTTGTTTAGTATATTAACATATTGGGTAGAATTCTTAATGACAAGCAAAAAATAAGCTACCCACATATAATCCACACCTTCAGCAATATTAGACGTTAAAAGAAAAGACAGAAAAGGAGAAATGGACACTGCATTATCTGAAGGAGATGCTTCCAAGCCATTATGAAGAACAGCGGGAATGTGAGAATTTAGAATATTAAAATGAATGGTTTTCTCATTTCAGTATTTGAAAGGAATTACAGAAGAATGGGTACACAGCTCAGCTTTCTAAAAAGATAAATTGTAAAACCTATATTTTAGTTTTAAAAGTGTGCATTTGTGTTTCTGTGGTTGCACATGAGTTAGTGCTGTACACTCAAGATTTTGCAAATATAGGCAATTTTGAGAATTGCTTATGAATATTTCTATAAAGAAAATCTAAGGCTTTCTGTTATTTCATAAAATATGTCTTACTTTAAAACTCAAGAGCCATATGAAAACTTCACAACTTCTAGTTAAAAAATATGTAACGGAAACACAGTAATATTTACCCAAAAGGAAACTAAAAACCAGTCCATAAGCCACCATTTCCTATGACAGACAAATTCCTAAGAGAAGACATCACCCTCACCCATTATCTTAAACCTCAGTAGAGCTTATATTCTGAAGCTTAACACAAAAAAGAAATGTCTTTCGTGATATAATGTGCTACCATCAATTCTGAGATATTTCATTCTAAACACTAGTAGATATATTTCCCAATTGACTTTCACTGTTCTGATAATAAATCTTTCAAAACAGCCTAGATTATAACAATATAGGACAATATATTTTAGTCTCTACCTCTTTAGTTATATTGGTGACTATGAAGCCAACAACTCCACAAGACCAAACTTGCTAAACTTAAAATTTGCCTCTTACTACATTGGCTATATTAAAATAATCCAACGTAAATGTTGTGATGTTGTACAACTGCCTACTTAACTAACTTTGGTATGAGAGCACTTCAAATTCCAGCAGCACTCAGAGATTCAAACCACTCCAGTTTTACTAAGTCCCAGTTGAAGGTAAGAAAATTGGTATTCTAGCCCCAAAGTCTATCACAGAACATGAAAAATTTGACAAGAAAAGGGCCACTTTTCTTTAGGCCCAACCACATCAGTACCAGCTTGAGCTCCAGCTTTCTAAACTATTGTGCAAAAAAACCTACTGTGCTAAAAATATGTTGTTACTCTAACTTTGAGATATTCTCTCCAGAGATAGGACTTCCTGATAGGAGATTCAAATTAATAGGAAGTGCCCTTCCTGTGTTTTCTAGACTGCTAAGCTAATGAGTTTGTTTTCAACGGCCTTTAAAAAAACATAAGGAGCAGATTAACCAATTGATTGGTGTTCACTGCTTTAAAGTGACTCTGTATATGAAGTGTAAATGTAGCAGACCCTAATCTTCTCTATACTGTCATGATACTGTAGAAAGTTTCGTTTCTCCTCTATTTCTAAAGGAATTACTACAGGAATTGCCTTGAAACCCTGTCAGTAGGTGACTTCCATTTTGCTCTGCTTGTAGCCCTATTAGAAACTGATGGGAACGCTTTCCAAGGAGCTGAGCACAAAGACAGGCTCCCACTTTCAGTAAAGCTATAGAGAAAGTGAAGAGCTCTGGCCATGTGCATACAGCTATGCCAAACCTATTTGACTCACTCCAACTATATAAAAATACTACATAAATTCAGCAGCCTTAACTTAAACAATAACTACGGGACATATACTCCATAGTATAATACAAGGAAAAGTCCTGATTTACGATTATAACTTCCAGACACTAAGGCAAAGTGACAATCAATACCAATTTTGAAGAAAAAATGACTGCGCTTCACAATGAACTAACTTTTCAGGTTAGGCATGCTACATGCTTTGTGCACAGCAAAAACATGGAGGCAAATGGCTGAAATAACCATACAAAGGCAGTTTTCTTAAAAAAGAAATGTGTAATTAGTATAAAAATACTAATTACACATTTAATTTTGACTTGTGAGGGAAGAAGGGAAACCGGCATGCAGTCAGAGTAGGAAGTTCAACAATCTCTTTTACTAATTAGGACAACTTTTCCAAACCTTTTTCACATGCACAAAAAACCCCATCCACCATTAATGAAAGCTAACAATATGGACTTTGACAGATAGGATCCTCCTAACTTCCCACTGCACATCCCCAGGCTCCTACAAGATCAGTTACTGTAATATAATGTCCAAGTGGTGACAATCTGCAATGACTTTGGCAGATGCAAATGGAGAAACAAAGTTTCTTTAACCTGGTAATAAGCTCTAGCTTTCCTACCTCTAAATTAGATGCCTTAAAACACGCACAGCAGTTCAATTCTAATAATCAAACTTCATATAAGCAGACACAAAAGATTTTCATCTTAAGAAGTTTATTTCATACTGTCTTCCCCAGTTAACAGAAGCATAACTCTTTATCGTAAATGTTCCTCGTCTTTGATAGTTTCTGGTATTTTAAAAAAATAATGGAATAAAAGAACTTTTGCTTAATTAATCAGAGAAACTATTACTTTCATCCAGGGTTACTAAATTATCACTAAATACTCTTTTCAAGATCTGTCACTCCACTTGTGAAAGATCTTAAATTTTCTGCCTGACAAAGTTGCTGATATTGGCTCATCAGTAAAAATCAGAACAAGTTCTCAGGAATTGTTATCAAACAAAGTAGTACCACTCCTGTGAGCAGCAGTGGGAGATGTAGCCACGTAATTCTGTGCCTTACCATGTACTCAAGTAATTATAAAGCATTCCACTCTCCTTCGTGGAATGTTTAAATTATTTTACTTATGTTTCTTTTAAAATGTAAATATAAAAAAAAAAATTGGAAAGTCAGGCTAGTCAGATATGAACCTTCCAAACATTTCAAATGTATTTTTTCCTTTTAAATTTCATCAACAGCATTTTAAGGTCTTGTGTTGAAAATTTTATTTCAGAACTTGTTCACACAAACAGGTATCCCCACCTATTTTTCTAATAATTTGGAATTTTTTCCACATGTAATGCTAAATGGCAGACCATTACCAGAAATGGTAGCTTCTGCTACACAACAGAAGAATGGCTTAACTCTGTTTTGGCCAGAGCATGGCCTGGAAGGAAGCAACATGGGGTAACTGAAGCAACAGTCAAACAGCAGGCTACCATTAAACCTCTGCCCGTGACAAACCGCCCACGCTCTGTTAAGAGTGGCTCCGCTTGCTTGCAGCGCCTTTTTGTTGTCAAAGCAACAGAAAAGGCAGAGAACTCAAGGCAGGACTGGTAAAATGCCCTTTTCTTCTGAGCTTTATGCATAATTTGTGTGATGTGTAATTTTTTTTGTGACCTTCAGTATATTTCCACCCCCACCCCCAAAAAAATAAAAGGAAAATCTTTAGCTACATAAATAAAGAAAAATCTCATGTTGTTATATTCATACTTAGCTACATAAATAAACAAAAGTCTTACCTTGTTATGTTCATACTTGTATGGGATTTTGAGTGTATCCATGGCTCTGATCATGGCCTGCATTGCTGTAAATATATTCTGGTACACCAGTTTTGTAAAGCCCCTTTTGTCTTCATCAGAGTAACCCGATCCATGAATGATTCTCATCTGCTTGATAAACGTGCTTTTGCCACTCTCTCCTGTGCCTGTAACACAAATAAGAAGGATACGCTTTAGCCACTGGACACAAACACAACTTTTTTTGTACAATGCTGACATCTTGTTTAGTGCAGGGCTGAACTTTGTCAAGTGCTGCTTGCAAGGACCAAGTTCAGTGTCAAAACAGCAGCATCAGTAGCAACTGAAGTATCACTAATTAAAACTTGCACTTCCATCTAACAACTAAACTAAGGAGTAAAACAAAACTCCAAAATATACATAATATGACTGCATATTAAGAAATCTTCCATTCTTGAAGACATAATTGTCCAAAACATCTAATTTCAGGTAATTACTAGGAGATATTTAGTCACAAAAATTCAGGAAGTAAGAAAAAAAATTCAACTTCCATGGTCAACTTTGAGAACATTATGGTAGGTAGTGTACTACCAATAGATGCATTTGTGTGTTTGGGTTTTTTGGGGGTTTTTTGTTTGTTTTTAAAGCAAGTAGTGTAACAATTACAGTCCTGTAAACTTTAACCTCAGAAACATGTGATACCACTGTTAATTAAAATTTGGCTCATATTCATTAACGTGCAGCCATTCCTTCCTTCAAATTTCTTCATGCCTTTGTACTTTGTACTAAAATTTGTACTTTGTACTAAAGTTTGTTCATGAACATTTCTGACTATTTGTCCATTTAAAGTTAAGATCTGCTTGCTGGAAATTTCACACAGGATACATCACACATTTTTCCTTTGCTCCAATTCAGTGAGCTCATCCTCTGTAACTACAACAGCTTATCTACATTATTCCTGTGTTTGCTTAAGAGGAGGAGTTGAAATTTAGAATGAGCAGTTGCACAGCCCTATAAACCCTGCATTCACCCAGCTACTCAGCCCTGCAGGAAACAAAACTCATGCACCAGGATGCACTGCTCAGTGCTGGGTTTTATTGTAATTATTACTGTGACGCTTTCATGCCTCACACTGTAATACTCATGCCCCAGAATAATGGCACCCTTATGCCCCTTACATGTTGTCTTGCCAGAGAAGTGAGCTTGACAGCACTGCAAGGCTAAGGGAGCAGCAGTTAAGCATTTCTGTGGTAGCACACACTGCAAAAAAATTAAGCTGGAAGCATCTAAGAGCTTTTGCCTTTAACATGAACATCATTTTGAAACCTTTGGTTTCCATTCCCCACATGCATAAAGCAAACTTTTAACACAAGTCTTCCTTACACATGCATTCTCAGAAGATCAGGCATGATGTTACATCTGACCAATTTTAATTTCTCTGGGGAGAAAGTAGTTATTATTGTAATGAAGAAGAACGTGCCCTGAAGCTGAAAAGTGAGACCAAACCTGCTTGCACTGTCAGCCTTCATGGGGATCCTCAGGATCCTCAGTGCAGGAGGAACGCAGCACTACAGGCGCAGGCCTCCTCTCTGCAAGGCACTGCCACCAGGCAGAACCTGCCCCACACAACCCTACAAATTCATGTTCACCAGGCACGGGCCCTTGTGGAAAGGGTGGTGCAGTACGGGCCATCCTGGGTCAATGACACCTGCCTGTCTTCCAGTTCATCAGAATCACAAGTGAGATCTTTACGCTTCTGTAATCTACCAGTGGGGAGAAAACATTACCTTCCTTAAGACTGCACAAAATTACAAGTCTAGACAATACAGAACTACTAAATAGTAAAAAATACTTTAGGGTACCCTTAAGAGCACCACAGTTTTTCTCCTTTTCTGAAACCTATGAAAAGGAGACATGTCCTTATATATAAAGTGAAATGAAGTGCCACACCACACATTCTTCAGATACTGTCCACCTTTTCTGCAAGATATATCACACATTTAGTATAAACATCCGTTCTGCGTGAACTTTTAAAGCACAGAATGGGATACGAGATGCTTTTTTGGCACAATTAACTCTTTTACTAAAGATTCTGCTTTAACTAATGCATAAAGGAAATCATCTGCACTAAACACCTCCCAATAAGTGGAATACGAAGTAACTTCAAGTTCTGGTCCTGATGCTTCCCTGCATGGGAATCCAGATTCCTCCAAAGTGCCCAAACGCAAATTTAGTATAGAGATAGGAAGCACATGTTTGTATTATCTACTGTTTTAAAACCTGAAGCTTCTAATGCCTTTAATTCTTTATTGAGAGTGTAGGTAGCAATCTGTAACACATATGACAATCACCCACAAGAGAACAGTGGTAAAGCAATCTGCATTATGTTAAAGAAATTAGTGTTTCACTTTATTTACACCTTGAAACTGAATCTACAAAACAGCAATATGAGGAAAACAGAACTATAATCCAAGGAAGAAACTGAAACTTAAGCCTGCATCTTATTCAGCGTTATGGTTTTGTAAATGGGTGTCACTGTGCTAAGACTTTGGCAGTCAGAGACCAGTAACAAATTATACTTGCAGATCTAAAGACACACACACAAAATGTATATTTTTCTCGATCTTTATATGTACTTTATTTACATATAAAATATGTATAGCTACCTATATGTATTTGAAAATGGTATCTCTCGCTCTCTTTTAAGGCCATGTCAAAGTTTCCTCCAGTTTGTTCCTTCCCAGTTCAATGTTTGAAACTACTTTCTTTTGCCTTCCCACAGACTAATTTTCTGGTTAAATGACCAGCAACAATGAGAATATTTTCAGTCCTCTGTAACTGCATGAAATGTCACATGCACATGGGGTGTGAAAAGTATCCTGGTGAAACAGGATAAAGTGGAAAACTTCCAGCACAGAACGCACAGAAACAGGATAAAAGAATAGGAATGACAGGTAATAAAATTCACGAGATTGTACAAAAATTCCTAAGAGAAAATTTTGGTTTTCAACACAATATACGGGAACTCACAAAACCTTCCCATTGATAGCTTATGTTAGATTGTTATGAAAGGCAGAAAGTAAATATTTTTATATTGTTCCTGACAAGAAAAGCATACAAAAAAAATTTTAAGTATGGCTTTTTTTTAAAAAGTGGTATCAATTCTTAATGTAAAAAAAAAAGGCCTGTTTACGTGTAAACTGCTTAATAGTGATAAAGCGCCATTTAGAAGTATGTTACGAGGGATTTCCTCAAGTACATCCCCCCAGACTAAAATAATTGGAAAGAAAACAAGCAATGTTATTTAGTCTCAGAGAACCAAGGCAAAGTTTGGCATAATGAATTACCAGGGTTAGCTAAGCACAGCTGCAATCATTACAGCATTAATCCTGGTGGGGAGTGGGATTTTAAACTATCGCTGTTACAGCACTGAGTCAAACCCAGATTGGATTATATCTTTTTTGGCTTTTAAAATCCCATGACTGGCTTTATAACATCAAGACGACCTATAAAACACCAACTGCGCTTTCTACAGCCTCAGCCATTACAGAGCAAGTTAAGAAATACAACTTGGCAATACAACTTGGCAACATTGCCTAAAATCTTACCTACCACCATAAAACAAAACCAACAATGGGTAACAGGCTGAACAGGACTCGAGAGGGCTTTTTACACCTGGTGAAAAAAATAAAACTCAAAATGGGATTTTAAAAAAAAATAATCTACATGTCCTGAGAGGATCTGAATGCTTTATAGCTTCTGCTAACTGCTACGACCATCATCCCAGCAATACTTCTAGCCTATATAAGGAGAGTGCAACAGAGCGGGTCAACAGAATGGACCAAGAGGGGATAAAACTATACTGAGAATAATTTTCTGCTGGCTGCTGCTGCACTTTTAAATTAGTCAAGGCTTGGATCGGTTTTCTGATGAGTAATATCTTCTTGTCTGTCAGAAGACAGCTGAAGGCCACACAACATACCTGAATCTTAATACTGATTGTGATGATGACAACGATAATAATACTGTTCTAAAAAAAATGAGGGTGGAGGGTGACTTTCCAAAAAAACCCATGATCCTAATATAACCCTTGGCTGGCACTTTGGAGAGAAGTCAATGGTGTGACTGAAAAAGAAGAACTTTCTGATTTAAGCACACAGTATGGTTGGTCATTTGACTTTTTAAAAATTTCTTTCCAGATAAAAAAACCACCCAACTGATAACCAAAAACAATTAACTAACTGTCTTCTAAAACCAGTAAAGAAATGTCTCTAACAGTGATAAATTCTCATTCAACTGTGGCGTAGAGGATTATCAAAACTTGTAAGAGCTTTGCATCTTACAACCTGGCAAATCTCTGAAGAACATACCCAAAATTTTTTTCTTCAAATGGTAATAGCAACAAATATTACTGCATCATCAACAATTTTACAACCAAATATCTGAAGTCCCCCGAGCAGTATTATCTCCAAAAGCAGAATGAGGAAGGAAGTCAGGCTACTTAAATGCAGCAGTAATCCCTTATGCGCATGCTTGCACACACATACACACCCCTAACGTGTACTAATTTATTGAATTGTTACTATTACTCCTGGTGCATGTCCCACAAAAATAAAACCACAAAATGTTGAAACACAACATTCTTTGCCCTGTGAAACTAACCATGTTTTAAGTTTTTCTATGAATGTTGAATAGGCGACGATGCAGCTACTGGCAGAGTGACCTCAATACTCATGTAGTGGCTGACAAGGAAGACACATGGAACTAATTCAAAAGTAATTCAAGACTAGAAGCCTAGGCTGACAAACTTTTTCTTTCACATGGATGTGAAATGCACACCTACACTTGTTTTTGCATTCCTCTACATTTTAAGTTAAATAAACTGAAGTATCATATCTTAAATATTCAAATACAAGGATGTTTTTAAACTAAAACAACAAGGATGCCATTCTCTAAGCAAAATCTACGCTGGCACTTACTAAGAAAATAAATGCTGCTAAACTACGCCTGACTCTGTGTTTACTCCTAAATCTGATTTATGAAATGGCAAGAAAAGAAATGTTTTAAAATTCATATTTAAATTATATAGAAAAGGACATTCTTAATCTGTAGGAAAAAAATAAAATCCATCAAAATCCACTACCCTGTTAGTCACTATCCACATTGTTTACGGAGAGCCATTAAATCT